TGCTGAAAGTTACTGTTTTTATATCTGTAGAAGCTGAACCAGCTTAGTGCTGTAGTTTGTAATCCAAAGTCTAAGTAATTCTTATGTCTGGACGCCAGGGGCACACCCTGCACTCCACTTTCTTTGTGAAGGTTGGAGTTCCTTTTTTAAAAGCTGAAGAAATAAATTTTGTCCCATATTCTAAGCTTATTTATGTTGAGTACTAACATAGCGACACTGTAGTCCTTCAGGACAGTAGAGCAGTGCAACAGAGGAATGTTTGTGTGGCTCAGCTTCAAAGAAAAGTCCTCCTGGTCAGCGGTGAAGGGCATGAATCTCAGTTATATCTGAGGTCTTCTAATTCTTTCTCATCTTCACAGAGTGGTCCCTGTTAAAGTATAGGAAAGTTAGTTTTGTGTTATCTTTTGTTAAAACGAGAGGCTTTGGGAGTGTGGTGGTGTGCATGCATGTGATGCATGCCGTGTGCATAACAAGAAGGAATAGGGTGGTTAGAGAGCTTGACCAGTAGCAGCAAAGTTGCCGCAATGTTGAATAAATCTTTTGAAATGTATTGATTTCTTGGATATTGCACCTAATCTCCGCATTGAACAGGCAGGTAAAGAGTGCAAATCGTATGTAGCCAGCCCGATGCTCTCCAGATTACAGAGGTAGTAGGCCACAGTTTAGATCTAGGCTATCTTCATCCCATTCTCCATCCCAGAGATTCAGATCGTCACCTGCAGCTCAGTGATGCAAGCTGAATTTTTTCAGGAGCAACACACATAAACTGTGGCCCAGGCCAGGAGCTGGGAAACAAACTATAGAATATGGACATTGTGCACAAAACTGTGCAGGAAAATATATTGCTTCTTTATTCTGTTCTTGAGAAACTAGGGCATCCCTGCATATCACCTTGCTTTGGGGAGGGGGGGGGAGGGAGAAACTTCCAGAGAATTGGAGCAGTAATGGTCAAGAGTTGTTGGCACCACAGTAAAATTACATCATACCCTTCAGCTCCCAGTTCTCTTCGTGGATTCTTTCTTTCTTGTAGAAGAAAGGCAAAAATCAAGAAAAACAACATTATCTAGTGTCTGGAACAGATGCCTGGCAATCAGCACTGCTGTCAGGATTTTACTCATGACTCCGCTGCTCTCTCGCTGTATACTGCTGAATGGTCCATCTTGCATTCTGCATGGTGGGACATCAGAGCCATCTTTCCCAGGAGTACCTTTGCCTTCTGTGTCCTCATTTTTCAGCCATCTAACAAAGGCTTAGAAATAAAAATGTTCTTTTAGGAATCTGAATAGGAATCTGTTCCTATCAGTAGTTAGGAATCTCGTTGCCTGGTTGGCAGAAAATAGGCTCACCCTAATGTGTTGGCGAAATCCCACCTGACTCAATCTGTTCACTGCCCTCGGTGTTCTCTTTCAGATATGACATCAGCTCTCTGGACATTTCTGGACCGATGCAAAACACCGGTGCTTCTGTAAAGAGGCTGGATTAGGTCTCCTGTGTAGCTTGCATGGGGGAACATAGGGCTGAATGAATTAGCTGTGTTTGAAGCACTTTTAAATCCCTCAGTCACCTCCATGGGGATGCTTAAAATGCTTGGTAGCCTTTTTCTTTTCGGTTCTCCGTTTGAGAATCCACTGACTCTGCTAGCTAGACAGACTGGGAAGGCAAGCGCTAACTCTACATCAGCTTCTGCAAAGAATATATTTATAACCCTCCTGGGGACAGCCACAGTCCCTCTCCAGCTGGTTGATCCAGTTATAAAACTGGAAACCACTTTGGTTATTTGAGATTTGAGAAAACAGCCAATGTTTCCATGTAGTAAGAGAAGGGGCTCAAAAGTGTAAGAGTGCATCTTTCCCATCAAGTTTTTATTCCTAGTGATGATGCTACTGTATATATTTTTAAATTCCTATTATTAAAATTGCATCAATAATGATGTTTCTTTTAATGTGTTGATTATTGATTTTGCAGAGGCATTGAGTGGGTGAGAAATTCCCCTATCCATGGAAAAATTTCTACGTAAATGAAGTTTATAGGAAGTTTGCTTTTGGGTTTTGGGGGTTTTTTTGGTGGAAAATCATAAATATTTGGAATCTAAGCCAAGAAGCTTGACAGAGAATATTCCTTAGCAAACAGACGCTTTTCTTGTAAAGTGTTGCTAAGTTGAAGCCCTGTATTTTCAGAAAAAATACCCCATGGTTTTGACCAGTCTTTATAAACCTCTTTTTCAAAGGCAATTTTTCATGCATTTGCTTTATAATTAATTGTCATTCTTCTTGGTTTACAAAGTGATGACCTTTTACTTTCATCTGGAAATATTTTAGCCATAAACGGAAATAATTTTCTGTTCCTGAAGAGGAAAAAAAAGTAATTTATATGTCAGCTATCCAAAAACATGTGTCAGGTAGAAGTATACAGGCCAGGTGTTAAGTCTTTTCTAAACTTTCTGTGGGAAGAAAGTGTTTTTGGGAATTAATTGTCTTGTTGGTTTCTCTGATTTAATGCCTCTGATTTCAGAACTAAGTTGATTAAATAGAATTGCACCAACTGTATTTATAGCTATTCTTTTCTTAACAGCCCCAGCATCTTGCATGCCCCCCTTTACTCTTTTTACTTTAGAACAATGCAAAATGCATCACTAACTCTCTTTTC